GCCAGCAGTTTGCACTCCCTGAATTTACTTTTATATGGTGAGACACAAAAAACCTCCCTTTTGGAGGGAAAATTGCTTTCCCACGATTAATTATCAATCACGGAACATAATTAAATCATAGGTACCCCTTATTAATCACCCAGTCTTATTTATACCAGACTTCTGTAGATACATTTTTTTATCAGTTTGAGGGGTTTTTCCCTAGACCTCTATATTCCCACAGATTTGGAGGTACCAGAAACAATGAAGTAGATCCCAATACTTGATCACATGAAGTTCCACAATACAGGTCACTCAGGATATGTCTACACAGGGATAAAAGACTCAGCATGCCTATGATTGTCCTGCGGCAGCTAACTCGGCTTCGCGGGGCTTGGGCTCCAGGGCTAAAAATTACTGTGCAGACATTTGGGCTAGGGCTGGAGCCTGAGCTCTGGGACCCTCCACCCTTCTCTTAAACTTCATTTGCATCTCTTCATTGCAATATAAATACTGGCTATTCCGGTTAAGCTGTCTAATAATACCAGATGGGCAAAATATTCCTTCATTTTTCCTAATGACCTAAATTCAAGGTTTTCTTTTGCATCAAAGTGTTTGAAATTACCAGCTCTGTAGAAGAGAGAGAGAATGCTGAACTCAGGTTTTAAATGACACGACTTTCTCTGGGTTTGTAAAATAATTAAAATACATTTACAGAGCATTTTGGTTCATGTTTAAATAGCCTGATGTGCACTGAAGTTGCCTAGTAAAGAGCACATTTTTACGTGCTCCAGGCTTGAACCTATGTAATAGTCTTGACCAAATACTTTTTAAAAATTAAAGAATTTTCAGTGCAACACTATTCTTTAAGCTATACCTCTAAGAAGATACGGAAAAGCTTAATGCAAGGCAGTAGTACTTTAGTAGTATTGTTGAGCTTCATCCTAGTTTCTGTGCTGTTGCACTACTGTTACGTTATAGACTGGCACACAGTCATATTTTTTCCTGTAATATGTGTGAAATTCATTTCCTCTGACACCAATTCCTACTTTTTTAAAAAGCACTAATGCTTATACTAACAAAATACATTTGAGAGAACTGTTCCATATACCTTCACCCAGTCCCTAACCCGCTCTACATTGTACTAAGATACATAAATCAGTTGTAATGGGTACTTCAGCTTGCTTTTTGCAGCTTGGGGGCAGAAGTAGATCTGGCAGCTGGGAAATGGCCTGGCCCCTAAAGTTCTCTCCGGTTTAATCTGCCTCTGCAGGAACAGACAGATTTCCCACCTGAAGAGCTTTTCTAAGGGAAATTCCAAACTTATTTCAAATTTCTGATTAACCATTTGGCTCAATGTGTTTGTCTGACTTCCAACCGTGTCCCAGGGCTGCGATTGCCTTTTGGGAAGATTGTCCCCTCAGCTCTGCTTCCCCTCTGAGGTATTTGCAACAGCTGGAAACCATCAGGCTTCATCGAGAGAGCTGGTTTGAGAAAGCCAAAGACAAAAGGAAAGGTCTGTGTGTCCTGCTTCATCCTCACTAGCATCTGGTTAGAGACCTCCAATGGCTCTGTGATCAACATGTAATCCCCTCAACCCCCATAGCCCAGTCTGTGTGAGGTCACATCAGCTGCTTTCCCTTGAGCAGGAAAGGATGGAGGATTGGAATAGTTGGTTTCACGGCAAGAAGCTCCCTGTCCCCTTGGGAAGCAATGCTGGAAGGCAGTGTTCCAGATGGAAAATCATGTAATTCTCTGGAAACCACACCAGCAGTCTTTGCCTTCTCTTGGGTCGTGGATGGAGGATACTGGACACAGCACAAACACTGCAAATGCAAGGGTGTTGTAAAGGGCTTTCAGGCTCTGCTCCCTCCCCCTCATACCACCTCTGTAACAGGTCTCCCAGGAGAAACACAGACCCTTCTGGCCTACTGTAAATCCCATACAGTGGATGGCGGTAGAACCTCAGGAGAGTCCATTCTTGAACCCCAGTACCCTAAAGAGGCACAGAAGGGGCCTCTTGTGTGAAGAGAAGACAATAAGACCAGCTTCCTTTGGGGCAGGGAAATCACTAGCCACTTGACATAGTTTTGGAGCAATATCTGAGCCTTATTTTGCTTCCCAGGATCATGAGGACAAACTCCCCAAGGAGATAGAAATAAAATCAGGTCTTGATTTCCCAGCTCACCTTCAGAGGGCCGCGTGGCAGATTAATACAGATACAAAGGGAATTCTTTGTCCCTAGGGAAGGAAGGCCAGCAGTCCAAATCACAGCTAGGGGATCCCGTAATTTTCTTTTTAAAAGGAAAAGTCCTATTCCTGTATTGGATCCCCTTCTGTTTATTTTATTTCATGAGAGTTTTTTCATGAGAATAGTTTTTGTATAATGTCTGAAGACACCTATTCAGTGCCCTTTAGGATGTGTTGAAAAATCTTTAGATACTTGGCCTAGCTTCCTGTTTCTTTAGATTCTTTATTAACGAGCTGTTAAACTGCATGGAGTAATTAGACTGAGATTATGATGTAAATAGATCACAAGTGTACATGTCACAATATTAGTTTCCGCTTGATTAATTTTTAGACAGAAAGGTAATTATTTAGAGTAATGCCACCGAATTACTGTTTGACACTTTTGCATTTATAAAATATTACATTCTGTAGTAATTGGCTGCTTTAACTATGCAGTGGGTCTTCAGATGTGCTTTCACAGGGGAGGTAAGGAATAGCATACCACATGGTGAAGTGTATGTTGAGTTCAGTAGCCATCAAATGTGTAGGGAGACAGTGAATGACAGGCACCATATTGGGTCTTGACAGAAATTACTATTAATTTTTATGATAGTGCCTAGAGGCACCAGTCTGGATTTTTGGGTCCCATTGTGCTAGAGACTGCACAAACACACAGTGACAGGCCCTGCCACAAAGACCAGGCAGTCTAAAGAAGTAAGATAAAGGGTGAAGGGAAAAATTGTGGTATACTCATTTTACATTTGGAAAAACAGAGACACAGATGAACTGATTTGCCCAAGTGAGACGTTCTCCTGGTGTTATCTGGACCGGTGATCTGCTAGGTCACTTCAATCCTCGACTCTGGGAGCCAGCCGTAACCTGCTCTGCTGTGAGAACCCCCACTCTTGGACTGTTCATGCACAGCCTCTAGCATGTAAGCTGCTCCCAGCTACGTGAGTGAGCACTTTTGACCAGCCGCTGCTTGGATTGTGCAACTGAATGATACTAGCCAATATCTCTGGTCCCAGACACAACCTTAAGAACCTCCATCTTGCAATGTCCAGTTATGCCCGCTGGACCCTGCAAGCTTATATGAGTTTGTCAATTTAAGAAAGAAATTGATATGTACCAGGCATGTTATCCCAAGGGGAGTCTCTGACATGCTTCAAACCAAACGCACTGCTTCAGGTAGAATAAACAAACACATTTATTAACTACAAAAGATAGAGGGATAGCTCAGTGGTTTGAGCATTGGCCTGCTAAACCCAGGGTTGTGAGTTCAATCCTTGGGGGGGCCACTTAGGGATCTGGGGCAAAATCAGTACTTGGTCCTGCTAGTGAAGGCAGGGGGCTGGACTCTATGACCTTTCAAGGTCCTTTCCAGTTCTAGGAGATGGGATATCTCCATTTATTTATTTATTTAAGTGATTATAAGTCAAAGCACAGCAAGTCAGATTTGGACAAATGAAATAAAAGCAAAACACATTCTAAGCTGATCGTAACACTCCTGTGCCTTTACAAACTTAGATGCTTCTCACCACAGGCTGGCTGGTTGCCCTTCAGCCAGGCTCTCCCCTTGGCTCAGCGCTTCAGTCGCTTGGTGCTGGTATCTGTAGATGGAGGTGGAAGAGAGAGAGCATGGCAAACGTCTCTCCCTTTTATCATGTTCTTTCTTCCCTCTTGGCTTTGCCCCCCCCCCCTTCAGAGTCAGGTGAGCATTACCTCATTGTAGTCCCAAACTGACCAAGGGAAGGGGGCTGACTCATTTGAGAGTCCAACAGATCCTTTGTTGCTGCCTAGGCCAGTGTCCTTTGTTCCTCTGAGGCTGGGCTGGGTTTGTCCCATACATGCCCTGATGAGGTCTGAACTGCCCCTCTGCTCCTGGAGAGTTTTACCTGGGCTTATTTTAAGCCATGAGGACACATTTTCAGCCTCATAAATATATACATGAAATTACAACCTATAACAACAATGCTCAGTGCATCATGAATCTTTTGAAGACACCCGACATGACAAACCTTGCGTTGGTTACCACACAATCATAAGGATGAACATGGGGGTGCAGGGTGTTCCCCCGTGGTACAGAGCGTCAGACCAAGATCACATGGGAAGTCTGTGACAAAGCTAGGAATTGAACTTGTATGTCTTGAATCCTGGTTCTTCATCACAAGACCACCCTTCCTTGCAGCTGGGTGCATTCCTCTGTAGTATTAAATATCTGAACAGTTCTTCAAACGGTACTGAAAAGAGATGCTCCTTAATAAATCCCTTAGCTGCTTTTCAAGGAGAGAGTGATGCTATAATGAACTGTTAACTATTTACTTTATCTTGTGTTTGGTACAGATTGTTTAGAAAATCTGTTATGGGTCCCAGGGACAAATTTCAAAAGCTGTTTGTTTTTTAAGACTACATTTTTATACAGGAGAGAATGTTGTTTATAACTCTGTTAGGCAACTTTGTTCTTATCTCAAACATAGCTTGAAGAATATTATCTCCTTTTGGCTAGCCATGCCAAAAATAATATAATTATCAGCTGTATAGAACAGGATTGTTTCAGAGTTTTTCTTTTTTTTGCCCTTTCCTCCTGTTCTGCAGACAGGTTTTATAGCACAATATTAATTTGAACTCTTTTCAGGTTTAACTGATAATCATAATCCTAATTCTCAAATGCATTCTGACTTGTTAGTCTTAAACTAGTACTTTAAATCAGCATGTGTTCATTTTCTGTTTACTTCATCTAATAGCGTTCTCTATAATGGTTGGCTGCTTCAAAGTTACTTTGTCTTCTACAGCTTGCATTGAAGGGATCTAACTACGGTGGACTACTGGAGCGACATTATATTCATACAAAAAATGTGGAGCATGTTGTAGACAGTTTACGGTAAGAGCATACAGATTAGTGATGGTCTGTGACAGACTAAAATAATTTTTCACTAAATATATCTGGGGTGACCAAATGTCCCTGAAGTCTGGGAATGTCTGTTTTCAAGGTCTATACTGGATTATTTTACAAGAACTCGCATTCTATATCACAAACCCTTGCTCACTCAAGCTATTTGATGTTGACTGGCTGGCTGCCTTGTCACATTGGTTTCAAAGACCATTCCTACTAGGTCTGTAGCATGTTGTCCCCTCCCTGCTCTACCCATGAGATCTGTTTCTTTAGATTCTTTATTAACTTGATCTGTTACTCCATATGGAGTAACAGGACTGAGATTATGATGTAAATAGATCACAGGTGTACAGTGTATAGTGCAGCCTGGCCCCAGGAGCTGTAAAGTAAATAAGATAACACTTTAAATGTACAGTACATTGGTTGATCAGAAGTCAAATTGTAGTAAATGCAGATAATCCCTTTTAAAACTGAAGGCTGAAGTGAGGGTTTTTTAAGGAAGAGTTTGAATAAAGAAGGTGGTGATTTCTGGTTAGACCAAGTGTATCTAGTGCATGAAGTTTCTGGCTAGAGCAAACAAATGACATAAATGTTTGTGATTGGGTACACAGTGGAACAACTTAGCGAAATACCTTTCACAAAACTGATTTAATTAAAATGTTGCATACCTAGCCTTTCATACACAAGGCATTTTAAGTCTTTTAACTATTTTATATTTACTCCCCCCAGGATAATAGCTAACTCATTATATTAAATGTGTGGTACTAGTTCATATTATGTAGAGCATGTCAGAGTACATTGACCAACAATATCCATAAACTAAATATAATTGTACTGCACTTCGTTGTTAGGATATAAATATTCAGGCCTGTCTGCAAAGGCCTATACTTTAAGAGTTTCTTTTATACCTCTATAACTAGCTTATCACTTAGCTAGTTATAGAGGTATAAAAGAAAGAATCAAAATCACTGTCTGCCGATGTAAGGGCCTTCTCTTACTGTGACAGTCTGAGGCCCTGTTCTTAGGCTAAGTAATGCCTTTGGCTAAGCAGCAGAGGTAGCCATAAGCTGGGAAGTGAACGGTCACATCCTCACATTCTAAACTAGTCACATTGCCTTATTTCAATCTGGGGCTGTTAGAAAGGTGATCCGATCTATCACCTCCAGACAAAGGGTAGAGCCTAAAAGATTTAAAGAAAACTTAAGTTTAATAGCATCCAGTCTGGCAAGAACTCACTTATCAATAGCTGGGATGTGAAATCCTCATTTCTGTATTGTTCTATCACTGTAGTATCCACTTCCCTATTTGTTTGTCTGTATAATCTCTGTCTGGTTCTGTGATTGTTTCTGTCTGCTATATAATTAATTTTGTTGGGTGTAAACCAATTAAGGTGGTGGGATATAATTGGTTAAATAATTGTTACAATGTGTTAGGATTGGTTAGTTAAATTTCAGTAAAATGATTGGTTAAGGTATAGCTAAGCAGAACTCAAGTTTTACTATATAGTCTGCAGTCAATCAGGAAGTAAGGGGGAAATGGGAACAGGGAATGGGGGTGGAGGAATTGGAATCATGTTTCGCTGGGTGGGGGGGAATGGGAACAGGGACACAGGCAAGGCTCTGTGGTGTCAGAGCTGGGAAGGGGGACACTGAGGAAGGAAACTGGAATCATGCTTGCTGGAAGTTCATCCCAATAAACATCGAATTGTTTGCACCTTCGGACTTCGGGTATTGTTGCTCTCTGTTCATGCGAGAAGGACCAGGGAAGTGAGAGGGTGAAGGAATAAGCCCCCTAACATACATATTCCCCTGAAAGCTTGAATTAGTATGCTATGTGGTTCCTTGTCAAACTATCTCTGTATCTTTTAGGAATGAGCAGATCGAGGTCCGTCTTGTTAAACGCCGAGAATATGATGAAGAGACAGTTCGATGGGCAGATGCTGTTATATCAGCAGGAGGTATTAACTTGTTCCTGGGGAAAGGGGTCTTGGATTTAAGTACATTTTAGTAGATGTGTTTGAAGCAGTATGAAGAATTAAAATGCTTCACTCATTAGAAAGTATACCCATTTATATTGAAAGTATATCTGCTATAATTAATTTGGCAAAAGTAAATCGGGGCATAATTAAATGGCTTGTCCCACTTACCCTCTCTTCCCTCTTGCTTTAATTTTAGAGTTTTAGGAAGTGAACACAAATGCTTAGTGGCTTTGGGGAAGTTTGTATGATACAGCATGAAATATGTAAATTGTAAAATTGAATAAATGCTCAACTTGTGTAAAAAACGAACAGTATGTTCTGCTAGAGACCCTGTCATGCTTAGGTGTCTGTGGTAATAAAGATGAGCAATTTATTTTTCTCCCACTACTTTCGCTTTCCCCCTAAACCAAATCTCTTGCTCACACTCACATTCATCCAGTTAGCTTGTTCATTGAACTAAAATAATAGCCAGAAGACGAAACCTACTAATTCAAAGACTGCTCATAAAGACGGGGATCCCAGTGTCCCAGTGCAAAACATATACCCTGTCAGCTGTTGGGATTCTTTCCAGGTAGTTGTCCCTAGATGCTTCTTATGGGTTTCATCTTTAGTGTTAGCCTTTGGATAGTAGGTGTTTGACAAATTCGAAGACCTCCAAATCCCCTCTCCAGCAAGTTGGGAAGAACAGTCTCTCCTCTTCTTCATTCATACAAAATTTCTTTGCTGCTGCAAGGGGGCTCTGGTCTCTGCTGCTCTACCTCTTTCCTGGTTGCTGCTTTTGAGGGAATGTCTATTACTTTTTCTCCTTCCCTTAGCCTCTGACTTTTGGTGGTCCTCCCCAGTGATAGCTCCACTACCTACCCCTGCTGCTGCTTATTGCTTTCTAAAGTAGCAACAGAGAAATTGACCTGATTCTTGTCAGTTTCAAAGCTGCATACTCAGTTCTGAATAGCAGCAGTGAAAACTGATGGAATTCTGTTTTTTACTTAGTTAGAAAAACTATAATTATCAGGAGAGATACTGGAGCTGTTTGCAGTGTATTCTTGGGTCTATATTAGTTCACACTTGCTCACGTTTGGAAGATCCTCTTTGCAAACATGAGGGCTAGAAATTTAATATGTATTTTCAAATGAGAGCTTAAAATTTTAAAGAAGTAGATGATACATACTTGGGAAAGATTCCTACTTGACCTGAGTGGTGGATTTTTAAAGCCCCGTGTCATAACTATAAAGGGAAGGGTAACAGCTCTCCTGTGTACAGTACTATAAAATCCCTCTTGGCCAGAGACTCCAAAATCCTTTTACCTGTAAAGGGTTAAGAAGCTCGGGTAACCTGGCTGACACCTGACCCAAAGGACCGATAAGGGGACAAGATACTTTCAAATCTTGGGGGGGGGGAAAGGCTTTGGTGTGCTCTTTGTTTAAGGTTGTTGTTCACTCTTGGGACTGAGAGGGACCAGACATCAATCCAGGTTCTCCCCATCTTTCTAAACAAGTCTCTCATATTTCAAACTTGTAAGTAAAAAGCCAGGCAAGGCGTCTTAGTTTTACTTTGTTTTCTCAACTTGTAAATGTACCTTTTACTAGAGTGTTTATCTTTGTTTGCTATACTTTGAACCTAAGACAGAGGGGGGTCCTCTGAGCTCTTTAAGTTTGATTACCCTGTAAAGTTATTTTCCATACTGATTTTACAGAGATGATTTTTACCTTTTTCTTTAATTAAAAGCCTTCTTTTTAAGAACCTGATTGATTTCTCCTTGTTTTTAAGATCCAAGGGGGTTTGGATCTGTATTCACCAGGAGTTGGTGAAAGGAAGGAGGGGGAAGGGTCAATTTCTCCTTGTTTAAGATCCAAGGAGTTTGGATCTGTATTCACCAGGGAATTGGTGAAAAGTTTCTAAAAGCTTCCCAGGGAAGGGAATGGTGGCAGCGGACCAGAACTAAGCTGGTAGTTAAGCTTAGAAGTCCTCATGCAGGCCCCCACACTTGTACCCTAAAGTTCAAGGTGGGGATACAGCCTTGACACCCCGTTATTAGGAAAACATCTAAGACCTCTGTTGGATAATAAACAACTGGAAGCCATAATTTAAAAAGAGAACATCACGTACAATTGAAGCAGAACTAAAACCCAAATGCTATTTCTGAAGTGCATGATGTATTACAGATGTACCTTATTCCCCTCTCGTATTAGTTGTAGTTCTGATAAAAAAATAATTAACAGCCCCTTTTTTCTTAGAAAAGGTAGTCTAGAAGTTTGGCTTTTCTTAAATTCCAGTTTTCATTAACATATAAAAACCTCCACAGATGCTAATCTAAGATTTTCCAGTGCAAAATATATTGTCCAAGCATCAGATAAGTGGTGCTTTCAGTGCTGCTCCATTGTGCTTCTTATAAACCTTGGATTTTCACTGCAATTCTGAATTCATTTAATATCTTGGCAGTACCCAACATTCAGTTTGAAGGCCAGACAAATGTTTTCAGTGCAGAATAACAACTCGTTTTATTTTTGTGCAACCTATTTAACCTACTGCCTGTATAAAAACATTAAAAATACGATTGCAACGTTAATGTTTGTATATGACACTCAGTTTAGTTTGGAATACTTAAGTTCTTAAGTAAAAGTAATCAGCTGTTCTTTATGCTGTTTTTCTTTAGGTGATGGCACCATGTTGCTGGCAGCTAGTAAAGTCTTTGACAGATTTAAACCAGTTATTGGAGTAAATACTGATCCAGAAAGGTAAGAACACCACATTTGGGAAAGCAGTCTCTCTACTTAATGTAAACCACAGTACTATACATACTACATAGAGTACAATTATTACTCAGTGTGCAGTTTTAGTTATCAGATTAAACTGCTGCCATTATTAAGGTGAACAGTATTATCAAGCAGATATGTTTTTACTTATAGCTATAGTCAGTAGCTCTTTCCATCCATGTTCATGTGAGCCTAATATCATTTGAACCCCATGCTGGCTCCAAAGCAAAAAGCAAGTCTACACTTGATGAATGGAGATTAACTACTGTTGTTTCAAGGTGAGAATATTTCTTGCTTCCTGAAAGTCTCTTGACTGCTGTTGGGCTTTTCCTAGGCTAGAGTTGTTGGTCTTTTTGTAATGCGAGTTAATTGATAGGCGACTCAAGCTAATAGAATTGTACATGATCTAAACACTCCACAAATGCTTTTCCAGAGGACACAAGTTTGTTCCCAGCCATGGAACCAGGAACAAATATTTGTCCATGAACAAATGTTTACAGTGTCTAGATTTGCACATGCAATCATGTAAACTCAAGTTAATTGTGTCAATTAACTACTCCTGGGGGAATTCTGTGTTTAAAAAAAATTAAAAATTCTGTGCACAATATTTTAAAATTCTGCATATTTTATTTGTCAAAATAACACCATATAGTCACGCCATTTTCAATTATTTTGGTAATTTATTTCAAAATACCTGTCAGCAGATATGTCTGTAGCAATAAAGACAACAAAAAAGATTCAGGAAATGTTTTTTGACAGATTCCTTACTAGGCATATTAATAAAGAACTTTGAGTAGTAATTAATTTAAACTACAATAAAGAAATGTATTTCCTGCACCCCTCAGAAACAGTGCAAAGGCTTCTGGGGATCAGAGGTAATGGAGGAGCTGAAGGAGAGGCAAGTAATTGCTGGGAAGGAGCCTGGGAGTGAACCTGGAGGGCTGTTGGGTGTAAGTGGGAGAAGTATGGAACAGGGTTTTTTTTGGGGGGGCGGGGTTTGGGTGGGGGAGAGGGAGGGATTGTTAGGGAGTTGGGGAGCCTCCCTCATGCAGTAAGACACATTTGTCCCTGTTCCTGTGTGTCCCTGCACCCCCAGTCAGCTACCCTTCCTCTCCATATTCCCATGTGGCCTGCACTCCCAGTCAGCTACTGTTCCTCCCCCTATTCCCATGTGGCCTACACCCCCACTCAGCCACCCTCCACCCCCATCCTCATGTAGCCCTGCACCCCTCTCCCACTCAGCTGCTGGCTCAATGCTGTCACCCCACTAGCTCCTGTGACCCCCTCCAGGAGCCCCATGTGCCCCACTCAGTCTATCCCCCCCATATCCTGTGCCTCCTCACCTGGCCTCGCGGGCAGGGTGCTGTGAGGAAAGCAGCTTCTCCTTCTCCCTCTGCACAGCTGGCTGCTCTAGCCCTGAGCCAGCTGCCCTCTCTTCTGGCACCACAGCAGCCCGTGGTGGGCGAAAGGTGTAATTGCAGCACATCTCCAGCAGAATGTATTTTCTGTGGGGGGGGGGACATGAATTCTGCAGATGTGCAGTGGTGCAGAATTCCCCCAGGAGTAAATTAACAGCGGGACCAGCCCAAAATCTCTAGTCTAGACAAGGCCATATGGAGTTAAAGTTGAAGACCAAGATCTTCAAAAATAGGAGTCTAAAGTTAGGCATTTAAACCTGTGTTTAGACACTTGTCTGATTTTTTTTTTTTTTTTTTTTTTTTTTTTTCAAAAATGCCAAGCACCCAATAGTTCCTGTTGAAAATCAGGCAGGTGCTTAAACATAGTTTTCCTTAGAATGACTGTGGACATCTGCATTCCACTGCAGATGTGTGCGCATCCAGTGCACTCAAGTTGGAGACTTTTGCCAGCAGTACAACTACGTCGACTATGTGTCTCAGTTCTCTTTCTGCTCTCAGGTGAGGGCATAAAGAGTGTGTGTCCGCCACCTACCTCTCAGCTCCTTCCCGTGCCTGTGATGAGAGGTGGAGCCCCTGTAGCATTTGCTTCAGTTAACCAGTGTCTCTAAAACTTATAGTATATAGTTAGCAGTGGTTAGTGGTATAGTTAGTTAGAAAGTTGCAGTTTTTGTAGCTAGCGTGGAGGACTTTAGTGTGGGGAAAAATTCCCAGGTTTTAAGCTGTATGCCACATGCAGGGCTGTCATCCTTGTCAGAGATAGGCGGAATTGCTGCTTGATTTGTCTTGGGGAGGGCCGTGTGAGGGACAGATACTTTATTGTACCTCCTTCCCCACCACAACCGAAAAATAGAGGGTTCACCTCATGAAAGAGGTGATGTGTCCGGGCATTAGAATTGAGCTCTTATTGTGAGGCAGGGGACTCAGAATCAAACAGAAGTGCCCCTCCAACTCCTTCTGATTCAAAATGCAAGTCTAGTGACAAACGTCATGCTTCATCTTTCCTGTCAGCTTTCTCAAAACAATGCAGGCATTCTGATGCTGATGAGCTTGAAGTCTTGGACTTCCCCAGAAAATTTCTGGTAAGTCCTCTGGTACCAGTTTGAGGTACACTGGTCCTGTCTGAGGCATCACTTCTGACTTGGCACCTTCAGGGCTGTTGAGGCCCCATATTTTTACCTGTGCTGGATTCTTAGTCCTCCTTTCACCCATTTCAGTCTTCCTTGGCTCCCCATCAGCACCATCTGCTCCACTGACATGCTTACCTAAGGTGCCTTCCATGGTGCAGGCCATCTTGTCTTCTCGGGGTGTGTGTGTGAGTCCTCCTTTGTTTTCCCTGCTAGACTGTCCTTCGGTGCAACCACTGTCAGCTCCCTAATGCACCTGGCACCCTTGGCTCCATCTGTTAGTCAGCTATCCAACCAATTAGGCTGGCACCGATCATTTTGTCTGTGTTCCCTCCACCCCAACCCTTGCTTCCTTTGGACCTTAATGTGTGTCTATACTTGGGTCATGTAGAACATCGAGGGGAACTGCTCCTCCATACTCTGAGGATGTCTGTTTCTTCTTCCAACTCTGAAAGAGGAGCCTGTCACACCTTCAAGGTTGTTTAGATCATCTTACAGGTCTTTTACCACTACAAGACCCCAAGGTCAACACTGATCTTCCTATAAGGAAATCCTAGCATGGGGTCTCCCACTGTGGATGGCTTAGCTTGTGCAGTATCCTCAGGACTTACTGGTCTTGGGCTTCTCCAAGAGACTGTAGACCTCCATCACAGTCACACTCTAGGAGGAAGTCTCCTACTTCCTCACTGAGGGAAACTTCTGCTCAGTATCCTGCTACTATCCTTCAATCCACTGAGCTGGACCTGTGGAGGAGGAGGAGGAATTAACGGAGGAGCCCTTAGATCTTCCTCCCCATGTTTCTCCATCTTCACCAGATAAGGCAATCACTTCAGAGTCCTGCCCTCCCCCCCATCTCTTCCTGGAGGACTTCAGAGTCTTTTGGGACCTCATGAAGAAGGTTGCCTCTTCTTTAGGGATGCAGGCAGAACCTGTGCAAGAGAATCCACATACTGTCCTAGATATTTTAGTCTCCTGCACCAGGAAGAGTTGTCCCATCACTGAAGCCTTACTTCAGCTAGTGAAAACTCTCTGGCAGACTCTGGCCTTTATACCTCCTTTGGCAAAGCAAGCGAACAGATGATACAAAGTCCCTCCTGATTTTGACTGTTTCTTTATTCATCCAGTTGATGATTCTTTGGTAATCACAGCTGCTAATGACTATTCCAGTCAATCTCATCCTAAGGTTGCTCCCAAGGATAAGAAAATTAAGAAGCTGGAGTTATACATACAAATGGTTTATTCCACCATCACTCTTCAAATGAACCTCACTAACTATTGGGCTCTTTTGTCAAAATATTTTATTAATTACTCTGCAATTTCCAAATTTGCTGACAGGTTGCCAGAGGAATATAAAGAACAGTTTCTAGCTCTGATTTCTGAGGAGCATCTTATGGCTTGTACATCCCTCAGGCAGCCACGCCACTGATACAGCTTCGTGTTCTATAGCCACTGCAGTCATCTTGCAGCATTCTTCCTGGCTGTGGCCTTCTGACATTCCAGGGGAGCTACAGGGCACAATAGAGGACTTACCTTTGGAGGGTTCTGTATTGTTTTCTGCTGAATCAGATGACGCTGTGTGCACACTGAGGGACTCTTGCATAATACTTTGTTCGTTAAGAGTTTATAATCCAGTTACAAAGAGGAAATCGTTTAGGCCCCAGTCTTACTCCAGACCCTATTTCCAACAGAAGTCACAATATGCCTCTAAGAGAGAGTCAAGGTCTCTTTGATGTCTCCATCCATCTTCATCGGAAGGAGGCCCTTCTGACCAGACAGTTTCATCTTCCAAGCATCAGGGGGTAGCCATGTTAGTCTGTATCCACAAAAACCACAAGGAGTCCGGTGGCACCTTAAAGACTAACAAATTTATTTGGGCATAAGGTTTCGTGGGTAAAAAACCTCTGAAGAAGTGAGGTTTTTTTTTTACCCACGAAAGCTTATGCCCAAATAAATCTGTTAGTCTTTAAGGTGCCACCAGACTCCTTGTTATCTTCCAAGCAGTCATTTTGACTTCTTGGTCAAGGACAACACACCAACTATATTTGCTCCCTTTGGATCATGCCTGCCCTTTTTTCACTGTGCCTGGGAAAGGATCATGTCAGACAAGTGGGTGCTCAGTACAGCGAAAGAGGGATATATTATCCAATTTACCTCCCTCCCTTTCTCCACCCCCCCCCATCCCTTTTCAGGGACACTTCTCACGAGACTGTATTACTTCAAGAACTCTGATCTCTTCTAGAATTGGGAGTGATAGAAGTTCCTCACCAACACAGAGGAAAAGGCTTCTATTCCTGGTACATGTGCACAATCACTTGAAGGATTAAAAAACATTATTTGCCTGTATAGTAACTATTCTTCAAGAGCTGTTGTGCATTCCATGATCCTCTCACCTACTTTGGACATTACATACAGCGGTGTGAAGGAACAGAGAGGGAGGCGG